TCCTATAGAATAGATTTATTCTCTACAGATAAAATTTCTCCATTAAAAATGCAAAATCTGAAGGCACTTATATTTTTTTATATCTCCAGTTAAAGGGTGAAATGAGACCATCTAGAATCTCCTTTTTTATTATGCCTCTTTCCCATAAGAATGCTCATTTTAACTCCTAGATTCCTCATTGCCCATTTTGATACTTTTCCTTTCGTTTATTTCCTAAACCAGAAAGTCTACCCCCATGTTTTGCTAACATGCTATCCCCATGTTTTCCATCCTTTGTCATCCTAAAGTTGGTTTCTTACTTTGGGTGCAGGTTTGGGGGCGAGGGGTGCTTCCAACGTGCATGTGCCGCGCAGTCAGGCCCTTTTGCTGGAGAACTTTCTTCGATTCCCACCTTGTTCCAACACCATCTCATCAAAGCGCAAAACAAAATAATCATTCAGCAAATGCTACTATATGTGTGCACCTATGTAACATGCATGAGTCGGACGTCATATACTATTGTGTTATCGTAATGACGTCGAACACAGGGTAGAAATACAAAGTACACCACGCTGAGGTCAGAGGCACCTCGGTGCCTACAGATTTTCAGGCACTTACTGTTTCTCACTTCATCCGTTTGTGTTTGAGCGTGACCTTGAAGTGCCCCACGCAGGCTCGCTGCACCCCCAGAGATGCTGGGAGCGGTCGGAGCCTGCGCGCGCCGCTTGCGGCCACCAGGGGACGGCAGCGCCCCGCCGAGGAGCCGATGGCAGCCCTGCAGGCTCACCTGCCTACAGGCCAGGCTCCGGAGAGGGATCCCCGCAGGGTCAGGTTGGACTCAGGAACCCAGTTTTCTCTCAAAAGGCAGCAGAGGAATGAAAATCCCTTATGCAATCTAGTAACCCTCTTTCCAAACACAGTGCTCTGAAACTGTGGATGGACCAGCACCCACGGGGGGGGGGGGGGGGGGCGGGGGCTCCTGGGTGGGATGCAGGGAGGGAAGCTGCAGCCTGTCCTGCCTCCCTGGCCGGCCTCTGGCCTCAGCTGGGGCCTCAGCTGACATCCAGCCTCTCCCTGCACCCTGCCTCCTGGTGAGCATCCAAAGGTCCTCACTCCCCTGAAGTTCCTTTCCCGGCACCTCTGCTCCCTCCTTACCTAGTAACAGAGTTACTGTGCTTCACAGTTTCCACAGGGAGGTGACCCGGACAGCCAGTGAAGGGCTTTTCCCCAGCTTTCTTCCACCTGCTTGTAACCACATGGCTAAGTTAAGGCCAAATGGCTGGAAGAAGGGATTCCCACAACTTTCAGGTTGTCCCACTAACGGCAAGGCCCCCTGCCACCTGCTTTCCCCTTCCCCTCTTTCTGTTGGCTGGGATAGAAATGAGATGGGGGGAGCTAGAGCAGCCCCCATGCACCAAGAGGACAGCCTGCAGTTGAGGACAATAGCCTCCTACTGATCATCTTGGATTGTCTACCTGGACTCGAAAAAGAAATCAACCAAGGATTAGGGAGGTACAGCTCTGGCCTCCAGCTACCTTATGGAGTTCCATAAATAAAACATCAGGAAAATTTTTATATTAGCAAATGCAACCAAAGGAAGAACGTAAGAATGCAAGCTGGCAATTTGCAGCAGTGTTATAGGTGTATGTACCGAATTGTGAAATGTGCAAAGTGCGGGTCATTCTGAGCGGGGCATCTGCAGCCTCCCCTGCTGTACAATCTCTGAGCATGAAGACAGGGTCCCTGTAGGGCAAGGAGCGGAGTGTAGACCATGTCACAGTGGTTGGACTTTGTGGGGCAAGACCCTCCAAATATCTAACAGTAAATGTGGAGCACGCTCGCTTTTCCCAGCGTCATGAGGGAGGATGTGAGGTCTCCCAGAACTGGGTCACCACAGCAGAGGCCACCCTGAGCGCAGGAACCCTGCTTGTACACACGGGTGGGCAGAATTGGGTCGCACAGGCACCGCCACCACCGCCTTTTGCTGCCACAACTGCCACCACCACACCAAATGCCCGGAGAAGAGGGAGCAGTGGGTTAGGGCAAATCCCACCACACTGCTGCAGAGCCAGAGGCTGGGCTTCAGGAGGCTGGGACCGAAGGCCTCAGACTGGCCTCTAGAGTCCTGGCCTCCAGAATCATGGTGCTGAGACTTCCGCAGAGGCAGGGCTGCCCCTGGTGGGTGGGTGGGTGGGTGCTGGGGGTCAGCCACTGTACAGGTTCAGCAGCGGGTGTGGTCTGACCCCAGACAGCTGCAGTCTTTTCCCAGCTTCAGTCCATGGGGATGTGCATCCAAGAACCTGAGAAACTGGGATGGGACTGGATATTTGGAATATATCTCCTTAGAAAGGAGGAAATTGCCTGGAAAATTTAACATGAAAACTTGCTCTACCTGCAGAAAACGTGGTTATGAGCTGGACTGTGTCCTCCAGATTCACATGTTGGCATCCTGGCCTTCAGTTCCTTAGACTGAGATTGCATTTGGAGAGAAGGCCTTTACAGGGGAAAGGGAAATGAGGTCATGTGGGTGTCCTTATAAGACAAGGTGTCCTTGTAAGACTGGTGTCTCTATAAGACAAGGAGCTCAGGACACACACACACTGAGACAGAGCACAGAGGGAAGACCCTGCGAGGACAGAGGGATTGGTGGCTGTCTGCACGCCCAGGAGAGAGGCCACACCTGCCCACACCTGGACCTCAGACTTCCAGCCTCCGGGGCTGCAAGACAGGGACTATCTGTCGTGCGAGCTGCTGCCCTGTGAGATCTTGTTACGGCGCCTTCCCAAACTCATGCACTGGTACACTATTAGCGTATACTCCATAGTCAGTTAGACCAGATTCTCTGTACATACACCTACCTCCAGAGTCCCTGGAATCTGCACACATTGTCAGAAATCTTAAAAGGATTTGAAAATAGTGTACTTTTCTGGCCTCCTTTTAAAACTGGGGCAGCCTGGGTGGCTCAGCAGTTTAGCGCCACCTTCAGCCCAGGGCATGATCCTGGAGACCCGGGATAGAGTCCCACATCAGGCTCCCAGCATGGAGCCTGCTTCTCCCTCTGCCTGTGTCTCTGCCTCTCTCTCTCTCTCTCTCTATGTCTCTCATGAATAAATAAATATTATTAAAAATTAAAAAATAAAAAATAATAAAACTAGATTGTTCAGAAGCAAATAAGAACTCAGTCTGCAAGGCGATACTTAAGCACCTGTCATCTAGGTGAGTCATTTGCAAGGTGATGTTTCAATGCTTAAATTTTCACCTTTGTTGAGATTTGCATATAACAAAATCTCATTTATCCAGAAATAATTGAGCAAGAAAGACCACCTCAGCTGCTTTGTAACAGGAACCAAAAGAAATTGTCTTCTGGTCAGCATAAATAGTTGTGATCATATATAAACACACACAGGTACGTAGGCAATAAATGTAAGCACATGTATACAATCAATTTATTAATAACCGCCAATAACTTGCCGTAGACAGGCAAGTTCTACGTGACTGCCCCTAGGGAGACAGCTGTGACCGGAGCAGATAGCTGATTCCCCACCCATAGTAGGATAGCATTTGCAGAGGTGCAGAGGACGGGTTAATGGCAGATACAGGCAAGGTCCAGCCAGAGCCTGATGGTGGGAAGGAATTTGGGGAAACCAATGAAAAGTAGATACCAAACTGTTAAAGAACAATCTAGAGCCCCTTAATAAAGGGACAAACCCCACGTAGCTCTGTGTCTCCTGCGGGTGTCAATGCATCGCTGCACCAGTCACAGATGTGCCTGTTCCGATGCCCAAGGCCGCAGGAAACAACAATGATATCGAATGAAATAAAGTGTGTATCATATTTTAGAAACACTTTTATTCATTATGGCTGAAATTTTAAATGGGTTATTGCATAAAGAAGTAAGCTTCACTTATCTGAAAATTCAAATTGTACAGAAGAGCTTAGTTCCAGCCACAATAAGCGACATATTTCCGTGCCAGCTTAGAAACACAAACTTATCTCCATAGGTCCTCTCAGCGCATCAGCGACCCTGCAAGGAGCATCTGGGTAGCGTCCTTGTGCTCTGGTTGCTGGGATCCAATGCTCACAGGTGTGTTTGGGATGCACCACCTCTGGACACCTCGGTCTTCCGGGTCAGAGCACTGATTCTGGATGACAGTTCCTACTTCATACCCAAAATAGTTTCATTTTGCAAAGCCAAAACTATGTTTCAAACATACAGACTTGGAATCCTAAGATATCACTTTGAATTTCATAGAGAGATGCAGTTAAAGCTTACAAGAACAATGGAAATTTTCGAGAACACATTCCTCAGGATTAGGCATGTCAGTATCTTTGTAACGCACATTAGTACCTTCCTAATACATGCTTGCATTTTTGTAATGTCTGTGTTTCTTTTTTTCCTACTTATGTTCATATGTTTACAAAGCACTCTTAAAATTTGAGTCCTAGGAAATTTCTAGAAGCTGAAGAGAGTTGTTAAAATCTGATTCCGTGATTAACCTCAGACTTTGGGTAAAACCACTTTAAAATCAGCAGCAGAAGGGGACTGTCCTAGGTCCTTGCCGCCGCCTGAAGCCCTTGGCACCAGGTCCGCTCTGTGCTGCCTCTGCTCCCCTCTGGAAGCAGACAGAAGCTCTCGCTGCTCTTGCTGTATTGTCTCAGGGAAGCCTCTTTGAACTTTTTAAAGAAGGTAATTTGAACAGCTTACGCGCTAAACTGCACCATAACCCCCAATTTCACTATATTTGTCTAACAGATGTTTATTAAGCCCCTGTGTGTGCTGCATGTTTGCTGTTTGTGTGCATCTTCGTGGAACTCTTGTCTGCCTGATTTTTGGAGAATTATTGCTTGCAGAGAACATTTTCTCAAGGAAATAAGGCAAACAGCAAATCCCGATGGCCTGGTGCTGCCCTATCTGCCTTATCCTCGGGGACAGTCGACACCCGTGCTTAGCCAGTGTCCTCCTGTCTGTCCCTCCCCCCCCCCCCCGTGTTGCTTTTCCAGCTTGGGTGAAATGTCTCACCTTCTGCCGAAAATGAGCTGAGTGGGGGCTCCCACGTGACTCCTCTTCTGTCCTGGTTTTCTAAACCCTACCAGTTCTGCGGCGGGCAGGAGAAATCGTGTTCTCGGGCTGCTTCGAGAAGATTCCTGAAAATGTCCACGCCAGTTGGCTGTGATGGGGCCGTTCCCGGGGGCCTGCTCTGGGGGCCAGGCGGAGGGCACCCCGGGGGCTCAGGCCTGCGGGAGGACAGGGCCCCTGAGTCTGATAGGGGGCCACAGGCTCCGTCCGGGCCGGTCACATGGTGAAGGACGACGCGTTGTCATTGTCCGCGGTCTCACTGTTCTGCCTGGAGATGAAAGTTTCCGAGTGCAGCCTGGAGCACGAGAAGCCCGGCGCCTTCTGCCTCCGCCGCACGCACCACAGGTCCTTCACGATCTTCAGAAAGTAGCTCCTGAACTTCTGTCCGATGAAGGCGTACAGCACGGGGTTGAGACAGCAGTGCAGGAAAGCCAGGACCTCGGTGATGTTGGTGGCGTAGGCCAGCAGCTTCTGGTTGTGGCAGAGGCGGTTCATCCTGCCCAGCTGGACGGCCGTTACGAGGAGCACCATGTTGTGGGGGATCTGGCAAGCCAGAAACACCAGCACCACCGCGATGATCACGCGGATGGCCTTGTGCCGCTTGGAGTTCTGAGCCTGCACTAGGGTCTTGACAATAAACATGTAGCAGAAGATCATGAACACCAGCGGGATGAAGAAGCCAAAGAGGAGCTGCAGCCCCAGCATCAGCAGCTTCCACTTGATGGGGTTCGAGCCCTCGTGGTACCGCGGTTCACACACGTCACTGCCCTGCACGTTGTACTTCTGGTTGAACATGAACGTCCAGCCGGAGATGAGGACCGACACCACCCACACCACCAAGCAGATTATCCCACGGTGCGCCAGCGTTCTGGACCGCAGCCGGAAGGACTTGGTGGCCTGCACGATGGCGATGTAGCGGTCCATGCTGATGCAGGTCAGGAGCAGCATCCCACAGTTGAAGTTGATGGCGTAGATGCCCTTCATCAGCTTGCACGTGGCGTTGCTGAAAATCCACTCGCCAGTAGCGTGGCTAACGGCCCAGAATGGGAGAGTGAGGACAAACAGTATGTCTGCGATGGCCATATTCAAGAGATACACATCTGTCATAGACTTGGCTTTCTTATAAAAAGCAAAGGTGACCACCACCAAAATATTGCCCAGGAGGCCAAAAACACATATCAGGGAGTAAGCAATTGGCACAAACAGCTCAGAGAATTCTCTGACCTCTTGCAAGGAACACAGTAAGCTGTCATCATCAAGTAAATAATCCAAACTGTTATTACCCGACCCCAGATCATCATCGTTTATGCCGAAGACACTGACGGCATCCATTGCTTCCTGGAAAGCGAACAAAGGAAGAGTTAGTCGTAGCATAATCTGCAAGTAGCGCAATTGACCGAAATCACGCTCCCAGGCAAAATAAAATAGATGCTCACCCCACTCATCGTGGTGCCTGTTCTCGGCAGAAAAGGCGGGCCTGGTGCAGAAGTGGGTGGTCGCTCAAGCCCTCTGGCAGAGGGGGGAGGGGGAACGTGGGTCTAAGGAGGAAAGAAAGCAAGATACACTGTGGATAAGTATTCCCAGGGAGCTGGAGAATCACATTGCCAGCATTCCATTTCACTTGGACACAGAAAATGCACAGCGTGCTATTTTACATGAAAAAATTCATTTAGAACAAGGGTCAGCAGCCTCTTTCTGCAAAGGACCAGACAGCAAATATTTTAGGCTTTCCAGGCCATATAGTCTCTGTCCTGACTACTCAAATCTGCCGTGGTGGCTTGAAAGCAACCATAGACAACTTCACAAATGAGTGGGCTTGACCAGACTTGGTTGCCATGGCTATAATTTGTCAATCTCTGATCTATAGCATAGAGAAGGGTGATAGCAGCAAAACCACAGATTCAAATCTGCACAGAAATTTTGGTACAAAATTCAATTTAATTCCATTCAACAAGACCCCACCGAACAAAATCTACAGAACTGTAGGTGTGTCTAGAACACTTATCACTTATAGTCCTCACCTGTAAGTAGTTTATGATTCAGTGTTTTTCACCCAGCTGGGCATGGGAGAATCTCTTGTAGAATTTTTTAAAGTTGGAACATGCTTGGAACATGTTGAAACAGCCAACACGCACATGAGAAAATGCTCTGCATCACTTGCCATCAGGGAAATACAAATCAAAACCACAATGAGATACCACCTCACACCTGTGAGAATGGGGAAAATTAACAAGGCAGGAAACAACAAATGTTGGAGAGGATGCGGAGAAAAGGGAACCCTCCTGCACTGTTGGTGGGAATGTGAACTGGTGCAGCCACTCTGGAAAACTGTGTGGAGGTTCCTCAAAGAGTTAAAAATAGACCTGCCCTACGACCCAGCAATTGCACTGCTGGGGATTTACCCCAAAGATTCAGATGCAATGAAACACCGGGACACCTGCACCCCGATGTTTCTAGCAGCAATGTCCACAGTAGCCAAACTGTGGAAGGAGCCTCGGTGTCCATCGAAAGATGAATGAATAAAGAAGATGTGGTTTATGTATACAATGGAATATTCCTCAACCATTAGAAACGACAAATACCCACCATTTGCTTCAACGTGGATGGAACTGGAGGGTATTATGCTGAGTGAAGTAAGTCAATCGGAGAAGGACAAACATTATATGTTCTCATTCATTTGGGGAATATAAATAATAGTGAAAGGGAATATAAGGGAAGGGAGAAGAAATGTGTGGGAAATATCAGAAAGGGAGACAGAACATGAAGACTCCTAACTCTGGGAAATGAACTGGGGGTGGTGGAAGGGGGGGAGGGCGGGGGGTGGGGGTGAATGGGTGACGGGCACTGAGGGGGACACTTGACGGGATGAGCACTGGGTGTTAATCTGTATGTTGGTAAATTGAACACCAATAAAAATTAATTTATTTAAAAAAAAGAAAAAAGGAACATGTTGAAACATTCTCAAGATACACTGAATAAGATTCTCTGGGTCAAAAGGCAGTAGGAATAATATATTATATTAATATATACTATACAGTATATGATTCTGTATTATATATAGTATGTTATTATGTATCTTAATTATATAATTATATATAATTATTGTATATTATATTTCTTAAATTTTAATATATAATAATATATTTATTATTATATATTATTTTATGTATATTTGAATTTCTTAAAAATCGCAGATATTGCCAGCATGCACTCAAGTTAACAAGCACCAATCTGCTGGGGCAGACACATCACAATCATCAGAAACCAGACTACGGGAAGAAAGGGCAGGACTGGCATGGTTCAGGATGGCTTTGTGGGGACAGGTGCCCTGGGTCCCTGGAGAACAGGCATGTGGCAGACAAAGGGATGGCAGAGGTGATCAGGTGGAAAGGAACAGTGAGTACTGAGTGTTGGTGAAGCAGCAGTGTGGCCAACCCCTCTGGTTCAACTTGACTGTTTTCAGACAAGTCCCATGTAACAAGTGATATGCTGGGAATGTCAAGAGGGGGTGACGCACGGGCCTCATGAAGTTCTCCAGGAGACAAGTAAGGATGGAGCTTGAGTCTCAGAGGAAAGGACTCTGAAACCTGGCATTGGAAACAAACCCAAACAGTCAGGAATTCTCTTATTCTTGTATTCAGGCATTCTTTGTTATTTGGTGTTAGCTTCCTGCTTTATCATCCGTCCCTCCCCCCACACACACACACAATAAAATCCCTGGCCTAGAATTCTGATCATCATGTTAAATGTGTATTTATTCTTTGTCCTCCCCCATCCTACCCCCCAGCCCCACCATGGGGCTGGCAAGGTCAAGAAGAGGAAAGGACAGTAGAATTACAAGCCTCAGGGGCACAGGCAGAGAATATACCATGCTGCGTAAAGTCAGTCCTTACCCCACACAGTCAATTTTGATACCTGACATTTTGGGGAGGAAGTCAGTATAACACAAAGCTCACCCTGAGGATTTTTTGAACATACTTCTCAGATCACTTGATTCTCATTAGGTTCTTTATACAGTCATGAGTCAGGTGGCCCCAACCCCGTTCCGTCCCTGATGCCTGCAGCCATCAGTTAGAGGGTGAGTCTTTGCTGCCTCTCAGCCACTAGTCTAGACATGACACTGGGGACAGGGGAGTGGGGAATCACCTGTGCACTTGTGCAGTCACCTACAGGTATACCTCCTCACTGAGGGCTTTAGGGTGTGCAGAAAACCCATAGCATACAAACCAAGTTTTTGTATTACAAAATCATACGAAGAGATAAACATATCAATTAGATTATCAAGGGGATCCCTGGGTGGCTCAGTGGTTTTGCGCCTGCCTTTGGCCCAGGGCGTGATCCTGGAATCCTGGGATCGAGTCCCACATCGGGTTCCCTGCATGGAGACTGCTTCTCCCTCTGCCTGTGTCTCTGCCTCTCTCTCTCTCTCTCTCTCTCTCTCTCTCTTTTTCTTGGTGTGTGTTTCTTTCATGAATAGATAAGTAAAATCTTAAAAAAAAAGAAGATTATCAGATGAAACGTCAATCAAAATAGGACTACAAGATTTATTATTCCACCCATGACGGATTAACAGAAACCAAATGTACCCTGCTGCACTTAATAACCAGAAAAATTACAGAATATATTAAATAACAGTTTTCAGATATTGGGCTACAGAGGTCACAAAATTATGGTCCCTGACAATAAGAGATGAGGTGATGTGGGCTATCACATGAGCTCTGGGAAGCCCCCAGTTTACATGGAAGCAGTTTCCACAAGGACACAGGGTCAGGGAGGTCAAGGCAAGGTGAGATATGGTAGAAGAGGGGCTAGACACAGAGAAAGGAGCAGAGCAGCAGAGAGGTGTCCTTGAGTGGAGGCAGTGCAGGAATAGTGCAAGAAAGCACAGACAGAAAGAGTTCCCTCCCACAAAAAGAGCAGCAGCATCTTCTAAGTCACAGGACATTGGACAGCATCCTTAGAACAATATCATTTTGGGAGTGATACACCTAAAATAACCCTACACGAAATGCTACTCTGGGCCCACCATGACAAGCTTGAAAGGAAGTTTCAGATGCTCCATTGGATTCCAATAACATAACTAATACTCCAGGACAAAGCCCAAAATCATTTATTTATTTCTTTTTAAATATTTATTTATTCATGAGAGATGCAGAGAGAGAGAGGCAGAGACATAGGCAAAGGGAGAAGCAGGCTCCCTGCAGGGAGCCTGATACAGGACTTGATCCCAAGACCCCAGGATCATGCCCTGAGCCAAAGGCAAACGCTCAACCCCTGAGCCACCCAGGCATCCCAGCCCCAAATCATTCAAAGACATGCAACCAAATCCAGGCTTCAGCCATGTAAAATTCATGTCAGGCACCCAAACAAAAATTTCTAGACACTGGAGGCTGAATGTGTCTCCCTGAAATTCATATCCTAAAGCCTAATCCCCAAGGTGGGGACACCTCCCCTTGTGAATGTTCTCATAAGAAGAGACATGGAGAGCTTGTTTCCTCTCTGTCTGCCCCCTGCCCTCCTGAGGACAAGAAGACTGAACCGTGGCGGATGGGAGGAGGGAGTCCTCACCAGACACTGGGTCTGCTGGCACCTAGATCTTGTACTTCCCAGCCTCCAGGACTGTGAGACATAAGTGTGTCCTGTTCAAGCTCCCCTGTTTGACGTAATCTACTACGGTCACTCACACAGGCCATGATGTTTGAAGAAACAGGAAAATATAACCCATAATGTACACAAAGAAACAGAAGAATGGCAGGTGACAGAAAATCTGCCCTGGTAGCTACCATCAGTATGCTCCAGATGCTCAAGAGGGTAGAGGAAAGCATAAATACAATGAAGAAAATGACGCATGATATAATAATAAAGACTTAAATAAATGTTCTGTAGATGAAATGTAGAATATACATAAGATGAAAAATACACTGATGAGGATTAACATACACACATCAATTTTAATTCTACATTCTAGCAATATTTGGGACATTTGGCAATTGAAACTGGAAAAAAAAATATAATAGCATCAAAAACAAAAGAAACAAACTACTTAGAACCACCTCTTAAAAATCAATACAAGAGGGCAGCCCAGGTGGCTCAGCGGTTTAGCGCCACCTTCCGCCCAAGGAGTGAGCCTGGAGACCCAGGATCGAGTCCCGCATTGGGCTCCTTGCATGGAGCCTGCTTCTCCCGCTGCCTGAGTCTCTGCCTCTCTCTCTCTCCCTCTGTGTCTCTCATGAATAAATAAATTTTAAAAATCTAAAAAAAAATCGATACAAGATTCCCATGAATCTTGAAAAGTATAAAACATTGCCGAGAGAAATTAAGATCTAAAAATAAAGCAAAGGTATATCAGGTTCAGGGTAATTCAACATTAAGATGTTGGTTCTCTCCAAATTGATCTACAGATACAACACGGTCCAAATCAAAATTGTGGCAGGATTTTTGGAAGAAACTGACAGACTGATCCTGAAATTGATATAGAAATCCAAGGCATGGGGATCCCTGGGTGGCTCAGTGGTTTAGCGCCTGCCTTTGGCCCAGG